GTGTGTGTGTGTGTGTGTGAGTGTGTGTGTGTGTGTGTGTGTGATGTGGTAGTGCATGACTAATTTCTTTTCAGAAGCAGAAACTCTTTTCTATGTTTTGTGGTCATTGTTAAAGTCTCTGTTCCACATGGGATGCTCACAATGTCAGACAAAAGAAAAACAGATCATAAAGCCATTAAACCCTTTCTTTCTTTAGACTAAAAAAGGGCAACACATTACCAAAAAACTTGGTTTCAAAGTGGAAACAGATTGTCATTGCATTTCTGCTGATGCCATGGCACATTTTTTGTGCTTTTTTAAAATATGAACCAGTGTTATGTTAGTATCACCTTATAGTTTTTATTTTTCCATTTTAAGTTTTAGTTAAAGATTTAGTACTTCTGTTGGTTTTGTCATCTTGAATAGGCTATTTTTAAAAATATTTCTATATATTTGTATTCTTTTTTATTTCATTTTTTTCATTAAGATATAAAAGAGCAACATATGAGCAATAACATTCTCCCCTGAAATTGTAACAAACCTTTCTGTTTGTTTTGCAGGGGAGAAACCTTCAGGTCAACATGAATTTATTACTAAACCTGATGCTGCAGTTTCTAACTGCTCTGTGCTGTGCTGCAGATCCCACAGTAAGTGTGTGTGTGTGTGTGTGTGTGTGTGTGAGAGAGAGATAGATGTACAGTAAATGGATGATATCTGGATTGAACAACATTCTGCATCTCTGACAGGTGCTGAATATCAGACAGAAAAGAGGCACACGCACATATAGGGGTGAGTTTTATTCTGACCTCTCAACTTCATCTCTGGCTATGTTGCATGTACTGCATGTTATTTCTGCAGTATGTTGTCTATGCATTATTGCTAATTTCCTTTATGCATGGAATACAACAGTGGCAAACTCACATGGCCAGCAAAACACTTTTGCTGGTGTAACACATAAATAAATAAATTTCCAATTTCTTATTTGCTTATTTTTAACTTATTGCTTATTTCCGATTCTGTCCGCTGTCAACATGCCGGAGAGTGGCGAAAATTAATATTGAGAGAAAACTTTGTCCAATCAGAATTGGTCTCAAGCGAGTCGTAGTCTAAGCCCCGCCCCTTCGAGCTTTCCTTGACAGTACGAATGATTCAGAATGATTAGAATATAATTGATTGTCAGGTTCATCAGCCAATCAAATTGTTGTATTTGTACAAGTTGCATACGTAATTAGAGCGCGATCAGTGCTACAGTTCAGCTTGACCGTATTTGACGGAAAACTATTTATTTTTACTTCAAATAGTCATTGGAAAGTACTTTTATATTGCTTATGAGAGGTTTCCTGAAAATCAAGGCTGGCTGAAGCATTCAGTATCATGTCATGTTTGTCAGTGGCTTGGTGTCTAAATTAATCTTTGAAATATCAATAGTTTGTTTTGACTGTAACTCTACTAACCTAACGTTTCAGTAGCGTGACAGTAAATTAAAGACAGCTGTGTTATTGTGTAATATGCTATTATGGCTTCTCTAATAACTAGCTACCTTTGCCAACGAGTGCGACTGAGTCCGATTCATTCTAGTGAATCGATTTATAAGTGTCAATGAAAAGTCCAATTCATTATAGTGATTCGGTTTGTTCGAACTGTTTATGTAAATGAACAGATTCAGAATCGAATCGAATCCCACAATGTTTTAAATCGGTTATATGTAAATTAAGATGTGTTTTTATACTGCTTGATACTGTCATCTTAATTTAGATTCATTCATTTATGGCTCTTGATTAAATTGATTAAATCATCATATCTCAATTTTACGTGTCATTTGACTCATATGACTGCCACAAATCATTTTTTAAATGGATTAAAAATTTAATGTTTTTGTTTTCAAGAGTAGTAATGTAATGCGTTAGTATGCTATACCAATCATATCCTCAGTATGTTATTGTCCATTAGGGGGCGCTATGTACACAGGAAAAACATACATGTCACACATTCACAAGCAGAACTTCAGCATTCAGGACAAACACATCAAGACTGTCTTCTGCTCAAAATGCTGTCTTTCTTTTTATCCTTTGTTTGTTTCTGTCCTCTCTGTCTTTCCCCAGTCTGATGTGGAGGAGAAGGCTTGAGTCATTTAATTTGCATCTATCCCTGACCACAACCATAATGTCTTAATTTCTGTGTCATTTTGTGTCTGTGTGTGTCAGACGCTTGTGTGGACGCTAATTCGGCTGCGGTCAGAGACACTGGGGCGACGTGGCTGCGATGGAAGGGTCAGAAAGTTGAATTCTGCCGCTG